GTCCCTGGGGAGGGGACGAGGCGGCGGGGGGGCGCAGGGGAGGGAGGGGAGGGGACGGCGAGGAGCGGGGTGCTCCTCCGCGCTCACTTGGCGATGCCGGTGAAGGCCCACACGCTCTCGGCGAGGACGCTCTCGTTCTCGGGGAGGAAGGCCAAGCTCCTCGCCCCTTTGCTCTCCCATCCTGCCGCTGCTGCGGGAGCCCGTTAATCCCCTCTTCGCCCCAAAAAACCCCACGAAATCGGGGTTACGTGGTCCCCTTCGTGCCTCAGTTTCCCCTCCGGGCACTCACCGGCATCGCGAGGCGGCTGGTGGGGCTGGCTCTCGCCCCCGCAGTCCCGGTAAGCCCCCGAGCGCAGGACTTTGCTGCGGATGGCTTTTTTGCGCACCAAAACCGGGGAGCAGTAGGGGTTCCCCGGGCGCCAGGCGCCAGCTCTGCCCTCCGCCTCCGGCCGCCGCTCCTGGAGGGTGGAGGGGCTGTGAGGGGGGCTTCGGGGGTGCTTGCTCCGCGAAAGGTCGTGCGAAACACCATGCACAAAAACGCTACACAAAAAATGCTGTGCAAAAAAAAAAAGCCGTGCAAAACACCATGCAAAAATGCCATGCAAAAAATGCTGTACATGAAACTACCACGCAAAAAAACGTCATGCAAAAAACGGTGGGAAAAAAGATGCCATGCCAAAAACTGCTGTGCTTTGCAAAAAATGCCATGCCAAAAACACCATGCAAAAAATGTTGTGCAAAAAATGCCGTGCAAAAAAAATGCTGTGCAAAACACCCTGCAAAAAAACACTGTGCAAAAAAGTGCCATGCAAAAAATGGTCTGCAAAACACCATGCAAAATTGCCGTGCAAATAAATGCCGTGCAAATACACCCCATGCAAAACGCCGTACAAGAAAAAGCCGTGCAAAATGATGTGCAAGAAGAGGCCGTGCAGGATGGGCCTTGCAAAATGCGCTGTGCAAAAACGTGCCATGCAAAACACCATGCAAGAAAAGGCTATGCAAAACACTGCGCATATACCGCTGTGCAAAGAAACGCTGTACAAAGAGGACGTGCAAGAAAACGCCCTGCAAGACAGCATGCAAAAAAGTACTGTGCAATAATGTGTCATGCAAAACACCGTGCAAGAAAAGGCCGTGCAAGAATGGCCAGGCAAAATGCCGTGCAAAAAACGCCACGCAAAAAGCGTCATGCATGTACCACCGTGCAAAGAAATGCTATGCAAAGAAAAGGTTGTGCAAGAAAAGCCGTGCAATACACCATACACCAACGTGCTGTGCAATAACGCGCCATGCAAAACGCCATGCAAAAATCCCATGCGCAAAAACGCCGTGCAAGGAAACATCGTGCAAAGGCCTGTGGAGCAGCAGCGCCCAGCACCCTGGCAGGGTGCACCTACCCCTGCGCTCAGGTTGCCGAGGCCGGTGGGCGCAGGCAGGCGTCGGAAGGAGACAAGGGCGTTGACGTTGCGCGAGACCTCCTCGGGGTTGAGCGGCTCCCGCAGCACCCCGGCCCCCCGGGGCTCGCCCCCCGCCGCCG